AGGCAAATGAGTATTTTGTCCACATCATCCTCTTCATGCATGTTGTCTTACTCCAAGCTGTATAGGCTCGAAAGCCTACTACCAATTAAGCATAATAGGTGATGTGCATCTCTGTAATGAGAAGGGGTGTGGTCTAATGACATCAACACCCTATATCAGGTGTGCATAATTATTAGGCAACGTCCTTTCCTTTGGCAAAATGGGTCAAAAGAAGGACTTGACAGGCTCAGAAAAGTCAAAAATAGTGAGATATCTTGCAAAGGGATGCAGCAGTCTCAAAATTGCAAAGCTTCTGAAGCGTGATCATCGAACAATCAAGCGTTTCATTCAAAATAGTCAACAGGGTCGCAAGAAGCGTGTGGAAAAACCAAGGCTCAAAATAACCGCCCATGAACTGATAAAAGTCAAGCGTGCAGCTGCCAAGATGCCACTTGCCACCAGTTTGGCCATATTTCAGAGCTGCAACATCACTGGAGTGCCCAAAAGCACAAGGTGTGCAATACTCAGAGACATGGCCAAGGTAAGAAAGGCTGAAAGACGACCACCACTGAACAAGACACACAAGCTGAAACGTCAAGACCGTGGCTGGATTGGTAAAGGGCAGAGAGCTCCAGCCCGACTCAGATGCCAGCAATGTGGAGGTGGAGTACTGGTTTGGGCTGGTATCATCAAAGATGAGCTTGTGGGGCCTTTTCGGCTTGAGGATGGAGTCAAGCTCAACTCCCAGTCCTACTGCCAGTTTCTGGAAGACACCTTCTTCAAGCAGTGTTACAGGAAGAAGTCTGCATCCTTCAAGAAAAACATGATTTTCACGCAGGACAATGCTCCATCACACGTGTCCAAGTACTCCACAGCGTGGCTGGCAAGAAAGGGTATAACAGAAGAAAAACTAATGACATGGCCACCTTGTTTACCTGATCTGAACCCCATTGAGAACCTTTGCTCCATCATCAAATGTGAGATTTACAAGGAGGGAAAACAGTACACCTCTCTGAACAGTGTCTGGGAGGCTGTGGTTGCTGCTGCACGCAATGTTTATGGTGAACAGATCAAAACACTGACAGAATCCATGGATGGCAGGCTTTTGAGTGTCCTTGCAAAGAAAAGTGGCTATATTGGTCGCTGATTTGTTTTTGTTTTGTTTTTGAATGTCAGAAACGTATATTTGTGAATGTGGAGATGTTATATTGGTTTCACTGGTAAAAATAAATAATTGAAATGGGTATATATTTGTTTTTTGTTAAGTTGCTTAATAATTATGCACAGTAATAGTCACCTGCACACACAGATATCCCCCTAAAATAGCTAAAACTAAAAACAAACTAAAAACTACTTCCAAAAACATTCAGCTTTGATATTAATGAGTTTTTTGGGTTCATTGAGAACATGGTTGTTGTTCAATAATAAAATTATTCCTCAAAAATACAACTTGCCTAATAATTCTGCACTCCCTGTATACTGCAACATGAGAATAGAGCAGCTGTGATAGAATACAGCATGAATCAATGGTACAGAAGTGGGGGAAGCAAGAAGAATGAGTTGAATAAAGTTTGACTTATCTGACTGCTTTGTTTCTGTTAATGTGCCTTATAATCCCGTGCACCTTATGGTCCAAAAAATACCTATTTGACTTATTATTAGGCACGCTGCAGTTTAATGTTAGTGGATATTATACATAGTTATGCTCAGGATATGTCAGCCCATTTCCATTGGAAATGCCTTTTGGTTAAACTTTCAGCAAGGAATTTGCATTTGCATTGTTATATTTTTATATAGCTTTAATGCACATAAAAACAGCTGCTTGTTTAAGTAAAAATAAATTGATGGGTTTTTTTGCGCTAGTAAAGTTATGGAGTTATATTTTATGTTTGTTAACCTATTATAATATATTATAATTCAATTATATCGTCAGTTATATTGTTATCGCAACTTTTCAAATATATATTGTGATAAATATTTTTGGCCATATTGCTCTGCTCTAATACCTGGGATAGGTTCCAATCCCCTCCACAACCCTAATAATAATAAGCCCATGATGGATGAATGCTTTAGTAAACAATTCTGCTAGTCTGTTGCAAATATTGTTATGGACTTGATTATTTTCATAGGCAGGTTTTTTTTTAAATTGCACATGAGCCAGTGGCTACCATCTTTGATCAGCGTACAAAAGTGTTTTTGTTAATTAAGACATTATGTCATAAGAAAAGTCTTATTAACATGTTTACCTGACACTTAAGTATTAATAGAGGAGACTGCTGTCTTACACATTTTTCATCTTCATTCAGAGCCCTCGTGTCCTATGGATGGAGGCATTGTGAGTCTTGATGTGAGCAGTTCTATTAGAATAAAAATGTCTCTTCATAGGATCAGTGACTCTAAACAATTTTTGATTGATTGATTGAATGAGAGTTCTGTAGCAGCTCAGCCACAAGTCACACTAAGCTTATAAGATGTTCTGCTGTGACCAATTGAAGTTTACTTTTAGAAGTGGTGTTTGTTGTTTGGGCTGCCCCTCCTCCCTGCTGTACTCCACTCTGCATACCAAAAATCCACCATTGCTATTCTACATGTCAAGGTTTCAGATTCATGCACACTCTGTAATGTCTTGAAGTTGATTTGAGTCCAGCTGGCAAACTGAAGTAACCGGACACAGTTTAAAAAGGGATACACTTGTGTATTTCAAGATCCCACAGTTCACACTGCATGTCTATCCATCCATCCATCCATCCATCCATCCATCCATCTTCTTCCGCTTTATCCAGGGTCGGGTCACAGGGGCAGCAGCCTAAGCAGAGAAGCCCAGACCTCCCTCTCCCCAGCCACCTCCTCCAGCTTATCCGGGGGGAACACCAAGGCGTTCCCAGGCCAGCCAAGAGATATAATCTCTCCAGCGTGTCCTGGGTCTGCCCTGGGGCCTCCTCCCGGTGAGACATGCCAGGAACACCTCACCCAGGAGGCATCCTTGTCAGATCCCCGAACCACCTCAGCTGGCTCCTTTCGATTTGTGGAGGAGCAGCGGCTCTACTCTGAACCCCTCCCGGATAGCTGAACTTCTCACCCTATCTCTAAGGGAGAGGCCAGCCACCCTTCGAAGGAAGCTCATTTCCGCCGCTTGTATCCGTGATATCGTTCTTTCGGTCACTACCCACAGCTCGCGGCCATAGGTGAGGGTAGGGACATAGATCAACCGGTAAATTGAGAGCTTTGCTTTTACACTCAGCTCCCTCTTCACCGCATACTGCAGCCGCAGCACCAATCCGTCTGTCGATCTCCGGCTCCCTTCTCCCATCACTCGCGAACAAGACCCCGACATACTTGAACTCCTCCACTTGGGGCAGGAACTCATCCCCGACCCGTAGTGGGCACTCCACCCTTTTCCGGCTGAGAACCATGGCCTCAGATTTGGAGGTGCTGATCCTCATTCCCGCTGCTTCACACTCAGCTGCAAACCGTTCCAGTGCGAGCTGGAGGCCATCACCCGATGAAGCCAACAGAACCACATCATCCGCAAAAAGCAGAGATGAGATTCTGAGGCCACCGAAGTGAAAGCCCTCTGCCACTTGGCTGCGCCTAGAAATCCTGTCCATAAAAATTATGAACAGAATCGGTGACAAAAAGCAGCCCTGGCGGAGCCCATCACCCACCGGGAATGAGTCCGACTTATTGCCGGCAATGCGAATCAAGCTCTTGCAATGGTTGTACAGGGATCGAATGGCCCGTAGCAATGGGCCAGACACCCCATACTCCCGCAGCACCTCCCACAGGACACCCCGAGGGACATGATCGAATGCCTTCTCCAAGTCCACAAAACACATGTAGACTGGTTGGGCAAACTCCCATGCACCCTCAAGTATCCTGGAGAGGATAAAGAGCTGGTCCAGTGTTCCGCGACCAGGACGAAAACCGGATTGTTCCTCCTGTATCTGAGGTTCTACTAGCGGACGAACTCTCCTTTCCAGCACCCTGGCATAGACTTTCCCAGGGAGGCTGAGGAGTGTGATCCCCCTGTAGTTGGAACACACCCTCCGGTCCCCCTTCTTAAAGCTGGGGACCACCACCCCGGTCTGCCAGTCCAGGGATACTTCCACTGATCTCCACGCAACATTGTAGAGGCGTGTCAACCAGGACAGCCCTACAACGTCCAGAGCCTTCAGGAACCCGGGGCGGACCTCATCCACACCAGGGGCTCTGCCACCAAGGAGTTGTTTAACTGCCTCAGTGACCTCGCCCCCCGGAAATTGGCATTCCCTGCACACCCTCACTACGCGTTTAGGTGCACCGGGTCTGTCAGGTGTCCTACCCCGCCACCTGATCCAATTCACCACCAGGTGGTGATCAGTTGACAGCTCAGCCCTTCTCTTTGTCCAGAACTTCTGGTCGCAGGTCTGGTGATACAATTACAAAATCGATCATCGGGCACCCTCCCCAGGCAGGGTAAACTGTTCCTTCCATGTTTTTCTCATAAGGGTCTTCTGAATTGCTCTTTGTCTGGTCCCTCACCCAGGACCAATTTGCTATGGGAGACCCTACCAGGGGGCAAAAGCCCCCAGACAACATAGCCCCTGGGATCCCTGGGACACGCAAACCCCTCCACCACGATAAGGTAGCAATTCACTGAAGTAACTGGACACAGTTTAATTCATCGTATTTCAAGATCCCACAGTTCACACTTCATGTCAGGTTAAAAGAAGTCTGTAGATGTCTGTGATCACACTGTATTGCGACATAAATCAGTACAAGGGTATGACACCTTTTCTAAAGCTTTGTGTGCCCCAGAAGCACAATACAAGCCATAATTGTGAATTGGAAGAAGGGAACATATGCACTTTTCATAAATTTCCAGTTAAATAACTAGACAACATGGGTTTTGGTCAGTGAGTTTAAAGAACATCCCACTGCTAAATTATACCAGCTTTTTTTGTGATGGTACCATACCAAAACAAGGCTATAAACTATACAGCTTAATGTTATTGTTGAATCCATGCTGTTATTGTGTGTAGGATCCTGGCCACTGTGGGGGCTGACTTTGATCTGAGAACATTGAGGGCGGTGAGAGTGCTGCGACCACTCAAACTTGTCTCCGGGATTCCAAGTAAGTCCACTTCACATTTTAATACATGTGCTGTCTGTGCTAATGGTCATGATGTGGTTAGCATGTTACAGCATTATAATAGGTTAACAAACAAACAACTACTATACTGCAAAAACATCTGTTCTGAAGATAAATTGCAAAATTTCACAGCTTTTTAATTTTAGTGGTGTATACCTTAAGCCAGTGTACTATACAGTGTATAGGAGTACTGTGCTACAGTGTATATGAGCATTTCTATACAGTATATTGAAGTACATCCATACAGTTTATAGGAGTGCACTTTTAGTGCCAAGAGCCGCACTCAAGAAAAACATCTGGCGTAAAAATAGGAGGGGGTCCACTTTCCCTCTTGGGGGAATACTCCCATAGGTTTTAAATCTGGGACTCTCCACCATTTGACCCTAGAACTTATGAATCTTCTCGGATGACAGGTGAAACGTCTTCCTTAGATTAACAAGTAAATATTTTTCCTTAGCACTACAGTTCCTCTGCATCTTTTGGACAGAGGCAAAATGACAAGGAGACTTGGTTGTAAAAGAAAAATTCAAAGGATATTGTAAATATCTAAGGAGCTTGGAAAGAAAAATGACTGGAGTTCTTTATGTTTCTCAAAGACTTTTCAATAGCAATCACGTGATCAACAGTGGGTCCACGACCCTCTTAAGGGACAACTTCCACTAGGGCTTGAATACCTGCGACTCTTCATCATTTGGTCTTAGAACTGAAGAAGCTTATCGGGTGAGAGGTGAAACGTCTTCAAGAAACTTAAAGAAGTCCAGTCACTTTTCTTTCCATGCTCCTTAGATTATCATGACTGAATGACTGAGAACATACACAGAATTACTGCAAATATATTTTGATAGCATTATGGTATGCTTGTATGTTACATTACATATGCAATCAATCATGGCTATGGCTAATCTTACTTCTCTTGCTTTGCCTCAGGTCTTCAGGTGGTTTTAAAGTCCATCATGAAAGCTATGGTACCACTGTTGCAGATTGGCCTGCTGCTCTTCTTTGCCATCCTCATGTTTGCCATCATCGGACTTGACTTCTACATGGGGAAATTTCATCGCACCTGTTTCCGGATTAACACAAGTGAGCAAATGTTATAGAACCTTAACCATTCCTATGTGTTTTTTAATGAAGATAAGGGGTTGAGTGACACATTTTGAATTCCCCCCATATAAACAAAAATATGATTGTAATAGAAATTATGCAGTGAAGCAAGCTCCAACAGGAGAACGAACAATTAATTGTAAAATATGTTCCCTGTGATGTGTGTGATATTCTTTTATATCATCAGTCAGACTTTCTCTTACATAAATTTAAAGAATAAAATCCAAATAATCACATTGTCCATCAGAATCTGTGAGCTGTCGGCTTTCAACCCCGACCGCATGTCTGTGTACGTGCTGCCGGGTGAGAAAGCCAACATCTCACTGATTCTGATGTGTTTGTCCGTGCTTTGTGTTTATGTCTTTTTGCGGAATCCGTTTACCTGCTCTCGTTTGCTGTTTTAGCTGTTTGGTGGTTGTTGAAATTGTTTTGTGAGGTTTAGCCTGAGATTCTGGCGTTTCTGGTAAAACACATTTATATTTAAAAATTGATTCAGGATTTTAATGAATCGATATTGCTTTATTAAAGCTAAAATCGATTTTAATCAATAAATTGATTATTGAAACCCACCCCCTATATTTAAACCTTTTGTTTTCTTCTCCCCAGCCTCACAATCTCCCTCATACCCAGCTGTGTGGTCCCCTGTGTGCCTCTTCGTTTAGAGTTATTCATGTCCCAGTATATTCTTTTCCTTGTGTCAGCAATAAAGCAGTTTTGGAGTTACTTTCCACGTCTTGGAGTCTGCATTTGGGTCCACATCCTGCATGCCACACAGCGCACTGTGACAATTTCTAAAAAAATACCTTAGTCTGTCAATGTGTGTCTTTGTGGTTACAGGTGAGCAGACTGCAGATTTCCCCTGTGGCTATGAAGCTCCAGCAAGGACCTGTGCCAACGGCACTGTCTGTAGGGAGTATTGGATTGGACCCAATTTTGGCATTACCAATTTTGACAACATCCTCTTCGCTGTTCTCACCGTTTTCCAGTGTATTACAATGGAGGGATGGGTGGATATCCTCTACAATGTGAGTCCAGTTGTGGGGACATAAAAAAAGATCTTTGGCCATATATTTTGTTGGTTTACCTCAGGGCAGCAGTATCATAATTTTATTGTGTTAAAAAACATATGTACATGTGTATACAATACAGGGTATTATATCAGCGTCAGAATAGGCATTCACTGATTACTAGACAGCACTAAAAAAAAAAGCCCACAATAAGTGTTACTTGAGAAAAAATGTTCCCATGCAATCTGGGGCTATAATTATATTTCACATAATTCTTACACGATAAAACACAGTGAGCTATGTTTTGTTTGGCAAACACTAAAAAAGCATCACATGCAGTATGATATATAGGTATAGAAATTGATAAGAATTTAGTGATTCCGATTCCATTATCGATATCATGTACTGACTGATTCCGTATCAATTTTCTTGTCGATTCTCATTGGGTTCTGATTGGCTCCACTTTGAGAGTCAGCAGTTTATTTAGAAGTAAAACATGAATATATCTAAAGTAATGTGACTTTGGTAGATCATGTTTTTCACAAAGGAATTTAAATGACAAAACCATCTTTATTAAAGAGATCGCTAAAATAAATCAGTCCTTTTTTATTCCAATCCATAAATGTCTGGGATGGCACAAAAAGATGATTAGATGTTACTGGAGAGAAATTAAATATCCAAATTAAAGTACTTTCCAAATTGGCGCCAAATCTTTATAAAATTTTGGACCACCAGGCACACCAATATTTAGCTGAAGAGGGGCAGTCAAAATTGAAATAGGTGAACTGTTGTTTTTGGTTCCATATTTACCCAGACAGGTCCCTCTTTATCTGCAAACCTGGTAATCCATTATGTTAACTTAAAAATATAAACTGCCCAACAATAGAATACACAATTAGGCAAACCTAATCCTCTCCAAACATGACTTCTTTATTCGTGCAGGTTTTTTATTCCATGTAAATAAAAGAAATATTGCAATCTAACTGGAAGAAAAATAGGAATCATTTTAAATAAATACAGAAACCTGGGCATTATAGTCATTTTTACTGTGTTTATCCATCCTGCAATAGCAATTTTGACCACCTATCTAGGTCATTTTTGGTTCCTCCTAAGTAGGGCAGGACAATATGCCCAAAAATATTTATCACGATATATATTTGATAATTTGCGATAATGATATAACTGACTATATAATTGACGCGAGACAATATACTTTACAACTCCACAACTTTATTAGTGCAAAAAAACTTCATCAATGTAATTTCACTTAAAGAAGCAGCTGTTTTTTATGTGCCTTAAAGCTATATAAAAATGTAACAGTGAAAATGCAAATTCCTTGCTGACAGTTTAACCAAAAGGCATCTCCAGTGGAAATGGGCTGACATATCCTGAGCATAACCATGTATAATATCAACAATACTTAAAAGAGGTTATACACACACAAAGCTGTAATATTATGTTGAAGCACAATACGTATTACTCCGCGAAGCTCCCAACTACGGTAGACGTAATGCTTTGACAATCCATCAAGCGGTGCGGCTTTGTAGCTTAGCAGGGTCGTACGAAAACATTTTTTGACAGATTTTTGAGTGCCGTGTACCAGATAAAATCGGTTCTGTAATAGCGCTAATAACAACGGCCAGCTTGCATGCTCTACCAAAAAATGTGCTTTGATGTGTATCTGACGGATGAAAGCCAAACCAGTTCCATACCACTGAAGTTGCACCATTTTTACAAACCAATTCTGGTTCATCTGTTTCATTCAACAATCTGCTTTCCCCCTTCTCATTCTCTGTCGCCGCCATGCTTTTTCCGCCATGTGCGTATGAAAACAAAGTCTTTTACCTAGTCTTTTACATATTCTATTGCGATATTTCATTTTCTTATCATTGCCTAACATTATACCGGTATTACCGTGAACTGTATGATATGGCCCAGCCTTACTCCTACAATAGACTTGTAATTGTATGGATGCATAGAGATGATTGAACCAGTTATTTCTAATCCCTGGGAGGTAAATTTATCCTTTTTCAATTTTAAAGGGCAAATTTCTATAGTTGATTTACCTTGCTAAATTATTTATTTTGAAACAGATAAAGAAGTAGGACATGCCACTAATTGGATCTAATATTAGCAGAAGTAGATCATCTGTATAAAGCAGAATTTTGTGGTTTACCTTGACCCTGGACAGTAGTCTTAATCCTACTGTCTGATCTAATAGCGATTGCCAATGGCTTGATTACAAACAGATAAGGAGCACGGCAACAGCCTTGCATTGTACTGATGCAGCCATAGGTACTGAGTATAAAACTGTAATCCAGCTATCAAATTTTGGCCCCAATCTAAAATGTTTTAGAAGTATAAATACGTAAGTCCATTCTATTTTGTGAATGCCTTTTCAGCATCAACACTTAGAACAACTTCAGACTGTGTTGCTGAGTGAGGGGAGGAACTGAACTACACTGAACAGGGTCCTTATCTTTTTTAAGTATGACTGAGATTATGGCCTGAATAAGTGTTTTTGACTACTTTCCGTTTTCCAGGGATTCATTATACACCGTAAAAAAAAAAAATCCTAAAAAAACCAGTAATTTCTGGGAAGTGGGGCGCTAAAATAATACCAGAAAATAACAGAAAATAACTTTTTCATGAAAATACGGTTATTTCCAATAATTACAATACAGTTTGTTGCCCTAATTTTACATGCGATTTTGCCCCTTTTCAAGTGCTTTTAAACATTAAATTAGGAACATTTTAATGTGATTAAACAATGAACTTACCTATAAACAAGGTCAATGAATGCGGCAATATGAATAATAATACTTAAATGTACAGAAATATACAGTTAACAGTTGGTTTAAATAATAATGGATTGCATTCATATAGCGCTTTTTGAGACCCTCAAAGCGCTTTACAATTCCACTTTATAATTCCCCTCTGACCATCACCAGTAGGTGGTAGGTGAAGTGTCTTGCCCAAGGAGACAACGACCGCGAGTGTCCGAGCCGGGGCTTGAACTGGCAACCTTCTGATTACAAGGCAAACTGCCAACTCTTGAGCCACAATCACCCTAAATAACAAGAATAATAATAATTATTTGATGTAAAAAAAAGTTTATAAGAATCATTTTATATATTTTTCTCCATAGCATTACATTTGAATTTAACAGTTCAATCTTTCAAATAATGGAATAATGAAATTATGATACATTTGTGAATGTATTTTAACAAACTAAATATGCATATGTACAGACAAATACATTTTAAAAACAAGAAAATTATGTTCACAGTCTATTTATGTAAATTTAATGATATTCCAGAAGAACAGTACAGAACTGTAAAATACACAGTAAAATACTTTTATATTACAATTGTTTTTACAGTGTAAACTGATTTCAAAACAGGTGCGAGCTTTAAGGGTATTCCCTGTAAAACTCGATGGGAAATCATTATGTGCCTGGTGCACTGCCTGTTCGAGATAGCTTAATAGGATTACTTATTTCCTCAAGTGACAGTGGCTGCTTTAAGGATGACTGAGCCTCTAGAGAGATTTTTGAATATCCAGAGAGTTGAGAAATAGGTCTGTTTCTGATGCATTACCCTCTACTTCTGATTGGTATAGGTTAGAATAATATTGTTTAAACCAATCATTAATGTCGTGATAGTTGTATGATATTAAGCCAGGATCCATTTCACTTCCTGTAATCATTTGCCCGGCTGACTTTTTTTTTAAAACCGAAGAACAAGAAGCCTACCTGCTTTATCTCCATGTTCACAATAAATCTGTCTGGATTTTAGTATATATTTTTTTCACCTTCTCCATCATAAGAATATTTCGTTCCATTTGTAGTAATAATTTTTCGTTGAACAGATCTGGTGTGGGTGAACCTCATGTCACCTATGGACATCTCCCATGTTCCTCACCAGCGTTTTAACATCCTCAGAGTGTACTTTATTCTTATATGCTACATAACTGATAATTTGCTCCTAATGTAAACCTTCATAGACTCCCACAGAATGTCCCTCGGCAGCTCCTTGATTTCATTAGTTTTCAAGATGAAATGTTTTGAATTATTTACATAGAAGTAGCTGAGGTTCCACGTTATCTGTAAAAATAAAATGGAATAAGTGGAAGTAGTTCCACGTGTGTGTGTGTGTGTGTGTGTGTGTGTGTGTGTGTGTGTGTGTGTGTGTGTGTCATTATTCATTGCAGGTTGGATATTGAATAAGTTACTGCTACTAATATAATACAAATACCTTTATTGATGGATAATGTATCTATCAACTTTAAACTGAAAAAGATTAGATTTGTCACGGCGAGTTGAGTGAGCCGTGTGGAAGAAAGAAAAGGAGGATCCAAATGCAGGCACTTGTAAAGGTGTGAGGGTGGTTTATTAAACACAAAATAAAAATAGGCAAACGGCAAAAGGAACAGAAGGCTATCTAAACTGAAAACAACTAAACTAGTGAACACAAACCAGGACATGAACATGAAGGAGGATACACAGCGGAGAATGACGACGGATGACAGCAGGGATAACACACAGAAGGAGCACGGTGGATACACAGACGGACCAGCAACTACAATAACAGAGGACGCGACTTAAATACACACAGAGAAACACAGGGAGATTACACACAGGTGGTGGAGTAATTAACGGGATGAGACAAGAGGTAAAACTAAACACATTCACAAGAGACGCAGACCTTCACAATAAAACAGGAAACAAGACCTCACTACACAAAGACGCCGACTTGACACTGAGAGACAGACTGAATATAACACATGGAACCTAAATGCTAAACATGAGACACAAATCCTGAAACACAAATAAACAGAAACATGGAACTCTAACAATAACAATCATCGTAGCCTCAGAGAACAAAACAATCATTCAAAAATAAACCAAAACATAATAATGGATTGGATTTATATAGCGCTTTTCAAGGCACCCAAAGCGCTTTACAATACCACTATTCATTCACTCTCACATTCATACACTGGTGGAGGCAAGCTAC